GAGCCATACACAGTCCAATGTTAAACATGGAAACCTTTCTCTCCCCTGTCCTTCTACTAGCTCTTCTGCCCGTATTTTTTCCAATTTCAATCCTAACCCTACATCCATCCCATTGGGCTTTTACTAGATATTGCCTATTGGTAACATCTCCTGTTAGTACATTATAGGATTTCTTTGTTATTTCTCTGAATATCACCATGTCCCTTATGTTACTGCTAACTCTGGTAAAAGCATCAATATTCACAATTCCTTCTTCATCTCTGAATTTGTTTCTCTTCCTCTATTCTTTTGGGGTTTTCCCTCAAGATTAAGCCTCCATGGGAATTCTTTTTTGATGTTCTTCTTTTTGTAGAGACAGGGTCTCATCTATGGCAGACTGGCCTTTAACTCACTATATAACCATGGGTGACCTTGAAACACCTCCCTACTTCCTCTCTCTTTGGTTTTTTTTTGAGACAGGTCTCTCCATTAATATCCCTGGCTGTCCAGGAACTCACTATTTAGACAGAGATCAACCTCCCTCTGTCTCGAAAGTGCTGGGGTTAAAAGCATGTGCCCCTCATGCAGTCTATCTGAAGCTAGGTTCAAATCCAGGGCTTTCCTCATTCTAGGCAGACATTCTACCCAACTGAACTACATCCCTAGTCCCTCCCAAAGTATTTTTAAAAGATTCATTTAGTTTTATTTTATGTGTGATTGTTTGCCTACATATTTGTCTTTGCACCATATGCATGTATCTGGTGCTAAAGGAGGCCAGAAGAGGGCATTGGAGCCCCTGGAACTGGAGTTACTGATGGTTGTGAGTTGACAGTGGGTATTGAGAGTTGAACCTGGGTCTTCTAGAAGAGCAGCCTGTGCTCGTACTACTAAGTCATCTACCAAGCCCCATGGGAATCTGTATTTTAATAACAAGATATTATGATGCCTTTTTGTATCTTTTCCAATACAAGGTCTCACTAAGGAATTCTGAACTGTCCTGAAACTCACTCTGTAGACCAGGCTGGCCTGGAGCTCACAGAAATCCACCTGCCTCTACATCCCATGTGCTGGGATTAAGGTATGATGTTTTTGACCCATAGAGCATGCTACAGCGAAGTCCTCAGTCAATGGCATCTCATTTTTATCAAACCTGAGTTCTATCTACTGTAGTTTCTCTCTCATTCATTCATTCATTCATTCATTGTGTGTGGAAGAGTAGATGTTCCATAGCATACACGTGTCAGTCAAAGGATAAGGTTTTAAAATAAGTTTTCTTCTATTTAGGGGTTCCCTGAACACAACTCAGGTCACCTGGCTTACAAAACAAACACTCACCTGCTGAGCCATCTTACTTACTTTTTAAAGAGATTTGTTACTATTATTATTTTAAATCATGTGTACATGTGTGAGAGAGAGAGACTGCAGGTGGCCCTTGGAAATCAGAGCCATTGAATCCCCTGGAGCTGGAGTTTGAGACCCTTGTTAAGCTATCCAACATGGGTGCTGGGAATTGAACTTGGGTCCTCTGCAAAAGCAGTAAGTATTTTGAACTACTGAGTGCTAAGCCACCTTTCCAGACCCTATATTACCTTCCTTCCTTTTTTTTTTTAAACAAACAAACAAACAAACAACAAGGTTTCTCTGCATAGCCCTGGAACTCACTATGAAGACCACACTGACCTCAAACTCAGAGACCTGTCTCTGCCTCCTGAGTACTGAAACTCTTTCTTAACAATTCATTTAAGGTTCTGGAGAGATGGCTCTGTGGTTTAGAGCACATACTGCTCTTGCAGAAGATGAGAATCTTTTCCTATCACCCATATCAAGTTGCTCACAACTGTAACTTTATCACCAGGGCATCATATGCCCTCCTAGTTTTAAGATTACTTGTACTCACATGCACAGGCACCTCACCTTCACATATACACAATTCAAAATGAAACAAAACTCCTTTAAAAACAATTCACTCTAATTGAAATATATGTATATATGACATACACACATATGTATATAAATCTTATCCTAAGTCAGGAATTTAATGAAACCTTTTAATACACATGAAAACACACAAAACCACTCAAAGGTCTACCAGGAAGAACAAGTGGGCGAAGACACCCTGAGAAGCTGGCTCAGGAGTCTATACCCACAAAAGCTGCATCTTGCAAAGAGTCTCAGAAAAGTATATAATTTACAAAAAATGTTCCGGGGCAGCTAATTTCAACAGTATTGTTCTTCAGAAAAGCTCAGAGAGAAGCAGGGCATGCTTGTTCGTGCATGCCTGCAATTTCTGCCTCAGAAGGCTGAGGCAGGGGTCTGCCTGGAATTTGAACCAACTGGAACACATAATATGAGCCTATTTAAAAAAACAAAACAAAACAAAAACATCCAGGCATTGGTGGTGCACATCTTTAACCTCAGCACTTGGAAGGCAGAGGCAGACCAATCCCTGAGTTTGAGGCCAGCCTGGTCTACAGAATGAGTGCCAGGACAGCCAGGGCTATACAGAGAAACCCTGTCTCAAAGACAAAACAAACAAACAAACAAACAAAAACCCAAACCAAAGCAAAACAAACAAAAAGAACCCAAAACTTTTATGGATTACGAACCAATCCAAAAATGTATGGAAAAATTAATGTTTGGAAATGAGTTATTATAAAGATACTCTGCATGATGTAAAAATATTAGCTGTGTATTTTTGGATTTAGGTCTTAGAATATTCTTGAGCTGAAAATTGAGCCAACTCTTTACTATTGACATGGCTTCAAACACACCAATATAAAGAATCATCCATGGTCTTGGCCACACTATCAAATACTAATGCATTTTAATTAACATTACATTTGGTTAGGACAGACAGCTAACTAAGATCAATGATACAAACTGAGAGCTGTTGCTTTTCTGTTAAACCCGAAGCAATTTATAATAACAGGCAAACTTCTGTTGTAAAAAATCTCAGGAGACAAGTGTGTCTCAGAGGGTCTATTCCTTAATGGCTTTGACAACTCATAATCACAAACAACACAGCATTACATATTTCACCAGTCAGAATATTGTGGTACACATCTTTAATTCTAGCACTTCCTGCAAAGGCAGGCAGATCTCGGTGAGTTCCAGCCCAGCTGGGTCTATATAGTCAGTTCCAGGATAGACAAGGCTACACACAGTAAGACCCTGTCTCAAAACAAACAAAACAATAACACCACAACAAAAATTCACCAAATGAAAGGTTGTTGGGCATCAAGTCTTTAAAAGTGATGCTCTGCTCTAAGTTACAACTTTTGCTTCAATAACTAAAATGTCCATTTCTCCCTTGCTTCCTGTTTATGTGCATGTGGAGGCCAGAGGTGGGTTCTCCATTGCTTTCCAACTTATGTATTCCAGCAGGGTCTGTCACTTGAAACCCAAGCTGAGTCAGAGTCTAGCTTGCTCTGGAGTGACTGGAGAGCCACCACACCCACCACGTGGCATCTCCCTGGGTGCTGGGAACCTTTGTTGGGCAGGTGCTTTACCCACTGAATTCAGATCTTCACCTTTGTTGGGCAGATGCTTTACCCACTGAACTGAACCATCCCCCAAGCTCTAGAAAAAGGGGCTTCTATGTAAACATTTGAGAGAACATCTTCTGGATGCCACCGCATTGGTGTCATGAGGCAGTTCAGTTATGTGCATTCTGAAGTCACATTGAACCGAAACATCACGGGATGTCCGTAGTTGTATAAGTCAAATAGAAATTTGCCAATTTGAGGCACCTTATCCTTTTGGGGGGTTTTGGGGGTGGAAAGATTATGAGTAGCCTCCCTGCTTCAGCCCTCCCCCTCTCAGTCTTATTTTCTACACAACACTCAGGCAAACCCCTTAGAAACCCAATACTGCTTTTCTGAAAAATTGTCCAGTTCCCATCTTAGAGTAAAAGACAAAATCTGTCTGTCTGCCTTCCTTCTTTCTTTTCTTTTTCTTTTTCGACAGGGTCTCAGTATGAAGCCTTAGCTGGACTGGAACTCACTAGTATAAATCATGCTAGCCTCAAACTCACAGACATCCACCTGCCTCTGCTTCTGCAGTGTTGGAACTAAAGGCCTGCCCACCTGGCAAAAGGCAAAGTCTTAATGACTCTCAATACGACAGGGATTGTGCCGTCTTCCTTTCAGCTCATCTTCCAGGTGAGCCTTTGATCACTTTCTATACACTCCAGGCCCCTCCCCATCGGTCTTTTCTACTCCCATTCCCTACTTTGGTATTTTGCACAGTACTTAACCATGTATATTGCTTACTGAGTGGTGCATTCCTGTATGAAGAATATCTACGTTCTTTATTCACTGTTTTAACCTGTGCTAAGAACAGTACCTAGTACATAGTACATGTTCAAAAAATATTTGCACAACGAACAAACTTTGGGACTCCCAGACTTAGAAACCCATCCAGAGCTGGAAAAAAGAGCTGGCAGGTATCCCCATATTCCCAGATGGAATTTGGTAGTGTGTATGTGTGTGTCTTTTAAACTTACATGTAGTACCTTTTGTTCAGTACATCCTTCTCTCTGATTTTTCTGAGACAGTAAGGCATTCACATTCCTCACTAGTTTGCAAGGAAGAAAACCAATGATGCAGGAAGCTGATTTTGTATGATTTGATTCTTAACCTTATTGGTTAATAAAGAAAACGCCTTCTAAATGTATCTAGTTCCTCTCCCTAAACTAAAGGAAAATATAATGAATATGTGTTTGCCTTTTGGACGGAGGTGATTCCTTCCTCAAAGCGCCTCAACTCTCTGGCAGTGCAACTTAGTTTTGTGGGGGGTGGGTATTGTTCGCGGGTGTCTCTTTTTCGCCCCGAAGTGTCTATTGTGCTGTGTGGTGAGAAGCAGGAGAGGAGCTGGGTAGGAAGGGATGCTGAGCGGCAGCGTAGGTCTGCACACAAAGTGAAGACCCTGGGAGCCTGGGGCCGCGCACTTAGGCCTGGACTGCCCGGGTAGCTTCCCCATGGGCCCGCGATCCCCCAGTCCTCCCAACCCGGCTCGGTTACCTCTAACTCTCTTCAGCGCGATGGGCTCCTTGTCCTGTTCCGCTGACATTACCGACCGCGGCGCATGGCTCGCCCCCGGGCCGCGGGAAGCCGGTGTCCTTGATGCGGCGGCCCCTCCTTCTCTGGGTCCTTCTCCTGGTCCCTGGAGTCCTCCCGCCCCAGCTCGGAGCCCAGGCCGGCCGGGCCGCGGGCCGACTTTGAAAACTTTAGGAGGCAGCCGAGGCCTCGGGGCTCCGTGCGCTCCCGGGGCTCAGCCGGGCTCCGCCGGGCTCAGGGCCGCGGCCTGGGGGCGGCGCCCACGCCCGGCCGGGAGAAGACGAGCGCCCTTGGGCCGCGCTGCGCTGCGCTCCGCCCGCGCGCGGGGGAGACGCGGCCTCCGCGGACACAAAAGCCCCCGGCCTGCAGCGGCCGCTCGGGGGACGTGATGCGGCCCCCAGGCCTCCCCGCCCTGCCTGTGCTCCACTGCCCAGCACGGGGCCGGGCTTCGGGGGCGGGGTCCCAGGGCGCGCTGAGCCCCGCACCCTCACCCGCACCCGCACTGGGCCTCGGGGCCGCGGCCTCGCTGGAAGGCTGCGCTGCGCTCCGGGGCCGTGTGCGCCAGGCCCTACACTCACCCCGCGCCCTCCAAGGCCCAGTAACCCCGGCCCTGCGTCTCCCGCCCGCGCCCTGCAGCTCCGGCTCCGCGCTTCCCGCTGCCCTCCAAGGCCCAAGACTCGCTGGTTCTGTGCAACCTGTGCCGGGCGCAAGGGCGCAATGTCCTGCTCCGCGCTCCCCGCTACCCTCCAAGACCCCAAACCCTCCAAATCTGCGTCCAACTCCTCTGCACCCCAGGCTGCTCTCTGCCCTCCAGGCTCCAGGACCCCGGGCTCCACGCTCTTCTGCACGCCCAGCCTCCCCGAGGAAACAGCAGCTCCCAACTTCATCCCAGCCACCGCAGTCATCTTGGCCTCGCAGTCAGATTTCAGAAAAACTTTGTCAGAGAAAGCAGTATGGTTATGGGTGGATGTGGACACACCACTCTCCCCGTGCCCGTGGCTTGAACTTGTGTTTGGAATTAACACCAGAAGAGAAGTGGGACAGGTGACTTCGCATGGACAAGTTATAGCGAGAGTCCCCCATCCCAATCCAAAGGGGAGTGTAAGTTAGATTCGAGTAGTGGTCCACATTCTTTCATTGAGCTGTGTGACCCGAAACAACTGAGGCACTCTTGAGGTTCATTTTCTGATTTATAAACTGAGTAGGACTTCATCTCTATGATGTCTCCTAACTCTGACATTCTCTGAACGTTTAGGAGTTTCCCCTGTTCGTTGTTAGGTTTTCTCGTTGTACTAAAAGAAACTAGGTGCAGCCTCCAATCTTCCATCAGGTAAAACACCGTTTGTTTCTATATCCAACCTTAGACAAGTATGTCTGACAAGTGCTCTTAAGCACAGGAGGACCTATAACTAATCAAAACGGGATTCTCACCTTCATATACACAAGACTTACAGAATTCATCCAAGTGCTCAGGCAATGGCCAAGGCAAAGCCCTACAATAGTGCAATCTGCTTTAGAAAAAGAATGGCCCGGTCCTGGCCAGTAGTGACACATGACACACCATTAATCCTAGCACTCTGTTAGCAGAGGCAGATGGATATTTGTGTGATTGAGGCCAGCCAAAGCTACATACAGTCATACAGAGAGACCCTGTCGGGGCATAGGGGGAAAGAAGGGGGGGGGGGTTTCCAGACAAGCATGAGTTGGGTTCCTCAGCATTCACATAAAAGCTGGACACCGATTTGTGTCTATTAACCCAGGATTGGGAAGTTGGAGAGAAAGGGGTCCATGGAGATTATTGATTAGACAGTCTACCCAAAACAATAGCAAGGTTCACTGAGAGGCTAGAGAGGTGGATCCTTGGTTAAGAGCTGCTGTTTCAGATAGATGAATGACTGAGGTTCTGTTCCCAGAACTGACATATTGGCTCACAATCACCCATGACTCCAATTCCAGGGGATCCAATGTTCTCTGCTGGCCTCTTCAGATACTAGGCACAGACATGGTCATGGTATACATACATACATACATACATACATACATACATACATAAATATACTCATACACATAAAATAAAAATAAATCTTAAAAAAAAAAACCTGGGCATGGTAGCCCACATCTTTTATCCTAGCACTCAATTAAGCAGATCTTTGTGAATTCAGGGCCAGCCTGGTCTATGTAGTGAGTTCCAGGCCATCCTGGGCTACATACTGAGTTCCAGGTCAGCCTTGTCCACAGAGTGAAAGCCTGTCTCAAAAACTAAACTAAACTAAAATGGTGAAAGAGCCTAAGCCCTGGGAAGCAAACACTGCTGTTTCCTGAATATGGGTATAGTGTGACCTGTTGCTTTGAATCTCTCACCAGGATGGACTGTGCCTTGACCTGTGAGCCAGAATTAAGCCTTCCTTTCTTACGCTGCTTTTGTCAGGACATTTCATCACAACAACAGCACTAAGAACCTAATTCAAGTTGTGCAGGAGGTGCCTTTATAGTCTGACGACCTCTTAAAGGCCTCCTAATGCTATCCCAGTGGCACCTGAATTACGAAGGAGACACCTTGTAAGTCATACCAACTATGAAATGATATCCATGAAGTGAGTGAGTGCCTCACACAGTGAGGTGGGGTGAAGGAGTTGCAGAACTGTACAAAGCAATGACAATGACATTGCATGAGGCACCAGCTATGAGCTTGCTGCCAGCCTTGTCTTTGTGGAAAGGACACAGGGAGAGAAATCTGGCTGTGCTGACATGGGGGGAAGGTGAGCTCAGTTTTGGACACCCTAGGTCTGCAACTGGGAAGTTCAGGTGACAGAAAGAGAATACCTCAGGTCATGCATATACTAGTACCTGGGGGGCAGGGGAGGGTAGAAATCACATCTGCATTGATGTTATTTGTAAGTTAATTGTGTATCAATCCTGTATAATGAGCCCAAACTCAGTGGTTTAAACAATCATTTAGTTGCTTATAATTCTGTGGACAGACAGTCTATGCTAAACTTTGATAGAATGTTTTTTTGTAGTATCACAAAGTAATTCAGGAATCTGTGGTTAGTTGGTAGCCAAAGGCTCTACTTTCTGGTAAGTAGGTGGCTTTTAGCAGGAGCAATGAGTAAGCACCACGGCTGGGCTGTGGATCAGCATCCAGCCCTCTAGTCTGGGCTCTTTTAGAAGATAATGCTTGCAAGATTTCAAGAGCTCAAAGGGATATCAAACCTTACTGTGCAAGCACTTTCCAAGTCTTGGTGTGCGTCTCATTGATTAGTTGATTTGGTCAGTTCTAGAACCATTATAGGAATAGATTACTACATGGACACAAAAAAGAGCGGAACAAATAGGGACTGTCACTCAAAACATACACCTGTCCTTATCTTCAGACTCATGGGGATAGTGAGGAGAGACAGGAAGGCATGGTGTTTTTACACAGATGTATAAATATTCTTCACACTTCCATGTCTGTCACATTCTTCCAGTCTTGTTCACCCGGGAAATGTCAGATCCCTATGAAGAGTTGTTACTATGCCTCAACGCTCCTACTGGTCCAACATCATGGGCACAAATCTACAAGTGCTGAAGGAAAGCCGAAGTAACATCATATTGATACAGTTCACACAGTCATGGAGAAAACTGTCAGTTAGTCAGGATCAAGAATCACCTAGGAGACTAGCCTCAGGGCACGCTGTGAGGAATTAGTTAAATGAGGTCAACTGAGGCGGAAGGCCCACCTTCCCTGTGGGCACCACCATCCTATTTTCTGGGGTCTTGGACTGAATAAAGAGAAAATGAGCTTAGCAGCAGCTTCTCTATCTGCTTCTAGACTGAGGACATGATGTGTCTAGGTGCCTCACGATCCAGCTACCTGACACCCACCACAATGGCCTGAGAACCAAAACAAACCCTTCCTTTGTTTTGGTTAGGTATTTTGCCAGAGCAAAGAAAATCACTAATACAGGCTCTTTCCACCAACTGTTATCTCTCTATGCCCCTCAAAAGGTGAAATTCCTTTCAAAAATATTGCTTTACCTCACTGTGCTCAAATCCATGAGAGGCAGTTATGAGGTGACCTTTACTGCATCTCTTGCTCAGAGATGTGCAAGTAAGTAAACAGACTCCCCTGTTTATTTAGAAAGCCATCTCGGCGAGCTTGGACAGACCCAGGCCACAGATCCAAATGGAGAGTCACCCAGAACCAATGAGGACAGCTAAGAAGAGAATTCAGGCCAACACATGTTTCCAAGGTTACAGAGAGACAAGAGGAACCTATAAAGGAGATGAAGAATAAATAGGAAACTGCAAAGCAGATTGTTAAGGGCATCAAGGAAAGGAGTCCCCTGTAAAACCACACTCCAGGTCAGGCCTCACAGTCACAGACTCCATGGTTTGTTTGTTATAGTTTGATATTTTTGTCTTCCTTCCTTTGTTTCATTCTTTTAGAGTAAGAAAAAAAAGAACATTAAGTTGTGGGGTAGGGGAGGATGGGAGATCCTGGAGGGACTTGGGGAAGGGCAAAGAATATTATCAAAACATATTACATGAAAAAAATAAAAATAATAATAATAAAAAGAAAACTCACATACCCTGTATGTGACCACTGAGGACATCAATATGGCTGTCACATAGGGTTCTTGTCTTGCTTTGCTCTGTGTTTTTACAGTAACAGGAAAAGGCAGTTTTTTTTTTTTCAGGGCATAAATTTTCCCAGCATAGGCAGATTGCAGCCTGAGTGTTTTAAGAGTGAGATTCACAAGTGTGTGTGAATGAAGCCCAAGTTGGGACTAGGTAAGACCAGGGCCAGGCTTAGTGTAAAAACAGCACTCGAAATAAGGAATGGTTGGCATTTTATGAAATCTCTTCTAAGAGACAGAAATGTGCCAATTTTAAGCCCTTAAAAGCCTGCTTTCATGATTCATACATGTTGTATATATCAACAATTTCATTTCTTTGGGGGCTAATATTCTATTGTATACACAGACTAGTACATTAGTTTTTCTTATTTACATTGAGAGATAGATTTTCATGTAGCCCAGGCTGTCCTTGCTATGTAGCTGAGGACAATCATGAACTCTTGATCCTCTATG